AAGCGAAGAGGAGGTGTGGGAATGGGGACCCAAAGCAGTGGACGTGTCACGCCTGTAACCAGTGCACCGTGATGCTGTGGGCCAAATGGGTCATTTTGCTTCTGCACTCGTCAGCGCTGAGGAGCAGATCAGGCTCAAGAAGAGATGAGGAGGAGGAGGTAGAGAAAATGCATAGAGAAGCTGCAAGAGTGACTTGATCTTGGGCAAGAAAGGTGCTTTGCAAAGGAAACACTGTCCTGGGTTTGCTGAAGGAGGTTTTAGGCAAAAACTGTGTCTTCACATGGAGAAGGTCTCTGATGGCAGAGGCTGCCCCAGCTCAGCAAGGGAAAGCACAATGTCTTTCTGCAGGCAGAAGCTTATGCAGAAAAATAATTCAGACTGGAAATATGATAAAAAATGCTAGTGGTGAAGATAAATAACCTTTGGAAGAACTTACCAGGATGTGCCACTGGTCTCCTTCATGGGAAACTTCAAAGCCAGTCTTTTTGGAAAGGATGAGCTCCAACCAAAACACAAAGCAGTCGGTATGAAGTGACATGTGCTTTACAGGGGGCAGGATGGAGGGCTACAACTCTCCTCCCAGTTTGAAAAATTGCTGACTCTGCTTCCCTAGGGATGTGCCCTCCAGTGCCCCAATATGACAATTATAGGTGCTGAGGGAATACCAGGAGAATGGAGAGCAGATGGTGGCCCCTGCCTATGAGCTAACTTAAAATGCCATCTCCTGTAGTCACCCGGGGACAGGGCAGTGGGCTGGAAGGACCGTTGCACGGAGCTAGTGAGACGTTTCTTATGTTCTTGCTTAAAAGGTCTGGTGGACAACAGAGAAAAATGATAACTAACAATGCAAACACCTCTCTTCAAAACCTGCTCTGAGACCCAGGAAAGCAGATGAAGCTTCATACATTAAGTTTGCATCCAAAGGATGTAGAAAACTGCCTGATGTCCCAGCCAGGTCAGGGGAAATGCATCCTCAGCGTGCCCCATTCCCCCCAAGACTGTAAAAGGAGTTGGGCTGATGCACTCAGATGTAGACATTCACATGAGAGGTACCTAGTTGGCATGGATCCTGCTCCTCCAGCCCCTAGCCAGGCAGAAAATGGACTCATACCTTGGCTAGAAGGTGGCAGGGTCCTGTTTAAATAGCCAACTAGCATCCCTAAAAGGCAGGGCTGAGGGTGTAAAAGGGGCCTTTCCCTGTCCCAGGGTACGGGGAAATATAAGTAGCAGAGACAAGAGTACGTCCCACATCAGCCAGCACTGCCAGAAATCCTATCAGCAGTCAGCAACAGGGCTGCGCAAGCAGGCTGGTAAGCTGCCTGAATGGATACTAATGACGCCCTGAACAGCATCTGCCTCTCCTGTCCTGGGGATAAAGACTAGTGCTGGTGTTGTCCGAGGCAGGCTAGGTTTTCCCTAAGGCTGCCGGTAATGGGGGGCAGCCTGGTGCCATCTGCACAGGAGTCATCTTGTGGGTGTCAGCAAGAGGCGCTCACCCAGGTTTATACAAGCAGGGATGAGAAGAGACTTGGATTCACTGTGGCGTCTGGTGGGGCAGGAAAGGAGAGAGAGTAGCATGTAGGAAGGTCATCCCCCAAAGTGCCCAGTCAGAAAGATAAAGAAATCCCACTGAAACCCAAGCCCTGCAATTTAACATTGGGTTTGGACTGAGCGATGCATCGCCCAGGCTGTCGTGCCAAGTTGCACGGTGCCTGGACACCTGTGGTTTCGCACAAGCGTTTCCCGTTCACCTTGGCAGCTCGGACCAAAAGCAAAGCGGACAAACTGGAAAGCTAGCGCCGCTGTGGCCAGTTTTTATGTCTAGCTGAGCCTATTATTGTGCTAACCTGATGTAGCCACACCAGCAGCTGAGCTGTTAGAGCATTATAATCCCATGCACATTACAGTGTTGCCACTAGAGCTGCTAATTTGGCAAAATCTGGATCCTAATGAAGATTTAGCTTATGGCCTCTTGCCACGTCACACTTGCATGGTACAGAATTAACTATGTTGGAAATAATGGCTACAGTCGCCAGAAATTTGCAGCCAGCAGTTAAATGGGATTCATCAAGTGTCCCTTGCATGTGGGCTTGTTCCTCCTCTCTCTGGCTGCATGCATAGAGCTAAATAATGCCGTTGAGGACCCACTCCATGGTTTGAGGCCAGGTAGGGCAGCAGACCTTGCATCCCCAAGCATGGATGAGACCACCACGAACTCAAATTAATGGAGTTATGCTGGTCGAGAGCCCCTGTTTGTAAAAGCAGAAGAAAGACCTGGATCCACACCCTCACACCAGACCACACAGCTGAGCTTTTGCTTGCAAGTGAAGCTGCATGCATGGCCAGCTGCTGTGGCTTGGCAGATGTAGGGTCTCTTGTCAAGCTGGTGCTAAGTCATGCATGAAATGCAGTAAGTAGGTGCTGCTTGTGGGTCTCGGGACACAAACAATATGGGCAATAAAATATTTTCCAAAAGTGCCACCATGAAAGCGAACTCATGCACTGAGCAGGAGTTACCTTCAGATACACTGAGAGCTCATTTTCGTCCTTTTTCACGAATATTGCTGGCGGGGAGATGCTCCTCAGAAGGTCATGTGTAGAAAGTGAGATGGGCACAGATGCCTATGGGGATTTGGGCACTGCAAAAGTCCCTCACCTGGCCTTGAAGGTGGTCTTTTCTTTGCAAGAACGACAACCCTTTTTGTATAGCAGCCTGGTGGCCAGGATGTATATTTAGGTTGAAAATGTCCCTGTGAGCCTGTGGGATCAGGCACACCTCTCCTGCCCCCCAGGAAGGCAGCTGGGTCTCAGGGGGGCTGGATGGCAAGGATGAGGGGTGCATTCTCTGCTGCCCACAGATGGGGTCATGCCCACCAAGCCTAGGCATTGAGTTAAGTCAATCATACAGAAATAATCCCAGGGGATTTGGGTGGCAATAACCAATGTAAATAGCAAGGACCTTTTGCTTGTTTAAGGCTTTGATGGCCGAATACTTGCGCTGATAACTTGCAGACTGAAATTTGCTGGTATAAAGTGTCTGTGCACCTACCAACTACAAATCAGGAAGAAATAAATAATAAATAGCTGGATGCTCACAGTTACTTTGGGAACGGAGAAAAGGATACATCTAAGCAAATCAATTCACTCACTTGTCCTCAAGTCTGTCTGAAAATATTCTCAAAGTGTCTCTCAGCGCTGCAAAAATTATCTCCTGTTCTCATTTACAAGCAAATGTTAAGAACTGAGAGATACATATTCCTCCCGTCTTTAATGTTTTTTTTGGGGGGTTGTGTCGTCAGCTGTTCCAGCATTCACAATTTCCCACTTATTTATCTACTCAGGCCTCCTTTTTTATTTTTTTTTTACGCACAGGCTCTCTGCAGTCTGGCAGAGCCAGTATTGCAGCATTGCTTTAGGAAGAGGCAGTTGTGACAATCCAGTCCCAGGCTGAAGCCCGCGCTGTACGGGGGCTGCTCTGTCCAGAAGCAGCAGCCTCACCCCCAGCACGGGGCCTCACGTTTAAAAAGAAGCAAAAAAAAGAAAGAAAAGCTACATTTATCTGTTCTGCTTTGAAGGGAAAAAGGATTACCAAGGCTAAATAAGCCATCTGAGTACTTAGCTAGCAAGCCTAAATAGTACCCTGATAGGAAGTTCTGGCAGAGAGCTAATTAAATTAACCCTCTTTGATTTATTAACAAGCAGAGCAACATATCACACAGGATTGTCCCATGAAATGAATGTGCTTTCTGATTCCCTCGGCTGCTTCAGCGCAGTCACCTCCCAGAAAACCCGGTTATGGGGACTCAAGTTTAATGAGACTCAATGGCTCGAAAAGGATCTCTGCCCACCAACAGAGATACACACTGGTAATAATACGCAAAAGCATGTTATTTTCCTTGCACTTCCCTAATTCCTTTTTAATGCCCAGGACGATCTAATGGCTAATTAGTAATTTCCTGCCCACCGATATGCAGATGAATGACAAGCAAAAGCCTTCTGCATGTTTAATTATTCTGTTGATTTAGAAGCCACTTTTCCCTCAGTGCAAGTTTCTCTCTGTGTGTGCTCTCATGCATCATGTATTTCATTATTTTTAGAAGCATGCTCTGTGCCTTTTTATGCTCTCTTAGTTCCAGCATCCAGTAATTACCATGTTTTGTGTTCAATGGACCTGATCCACTGGCGAGTGTAAATCAGGAAAACATCGCTGACTTTAAATGGAGTTATTCCAAGTTACACCAGACCTAAGACCTGACCGGTCCTATTTTCAGTGGTGGGGGGAAATGTTATTTGTGTGCTGGGACCCTTGTGAAGTAGCAGAATATAAAATTTAGAAAACTTCAGAGCGGTGAAAATCCAAATCAAAGCCTGCAAATGCACAGACGTGAATCTATTTATATAGCAAGCTCTACTTCTGCTTAACCCCTGCAAGGAACTGTAATTCTCTTTGCATATTTGATTTTTCTCCCGCAGTAAAACATAGTCTACTTAATCTATTTTTGTTACTTTCTAACAGTTTCACCAGTGGGCTTCTTCCCTATGCCTTACATTTAGCTTTGGTATCCGAGTGCTCTTTTGTTAAATTAAGGCAATTAATAAATGGAGACATTAAGCAATCAATTTTGCCTGCATATCTCCACAGCCTTATGTATGACTGGCTGTAATCACAAGATAAATGCAATGTGCTGATGTATGGTAATGTTCAATAATACATTCTCCACCAGGCTCAATTCATCAGGGAGTTTCTGGAGGGGAGGCATTCGTTATTGGCTGTCTCCGGACCTCAAGGATAACATTTCTGTCCTTTCCATTGGCCGCCCCGCTGCTGCAAGCCTCTTCCCGTCTTATTTTGATGATGAATATGAAGGCATGCTAAGCCGTGCCAGAGCGTAGCTCTCGCCGACTGCACTCCCTCCCCGGGCTCAAGGACTCAGGGGCTCCCTCGCTGCTTCCCCTGCCCACCGCCAGCAGCAGCAGCAGCAGCAACGCCAAAAGTTGTGATGCTTTTCTTCACCCAGTGCTTTGGGGCTGTGTTAGATCTTATTCACCTGCGGTTTCAGCACTACAAGGCAAAGAGGGTTTTCTCAGCTGCCGGGCAACTTGTCTGCGTCGTCAACCCAACGCACAGCCTAAAGGTGAGTTAAAAATATTTTTTGTCTTCTGACATCTTCTCGTCCTCCCCGCTCCACCGCCGGCGTTTCTCCGCAGGGAATGAAATGATGCTGTGGCAGCAAGGGGAGAGTGCTGTTAACACATTGCAGCCCTGGCAGAGAGGATGTTTGCATTGTCTGGCTGCATGGTTCCCTTCGGACCGAAGGGGATGCAACCCGCTGCTCCAAGCAATCGTGGGAAGTCGCTGCTCCCCCTCCCCAAAGTTTCCTCATCCCTTTCACCCATGTAATGAGCACGCACGTTGCAAGCTTCTGGAGAAAAAGATTGGAAAAGTTAGTTGGATGAATTAACCTCCCTTTTTGGTGGAAGGGCGCAGGGCGGTCTCCCAGGCTGACACCTGAGCACAGCCGGCTGCTGCCCAGCAGTGGGGAGCGGGGAGAAGGGGGTCTCCATCTGCTGGTCTTGTTTGCTTTTTTGGGGAAAAAGGCTGTTTCTGTCTCCTGAGGGGTGTCTGAAGACATTCCTCTGGCGCCGAGAGTGTCCTTAAGCTGTTTGCAAGGTGAATCTATTTTAGGCAGGAGAATACATTTGCTTTAATGCAAAACTATTTATAGCCCCCATAAAACATTTCTCTTACTTGCGCGGTTCTAGATTTTCACTGACAAAGTGTCAACAGCTCCGTCTATGCCAGAGCCCTGATGTTTGTGCGTAGCGAAGGAGCAGCAGGGGGAGAAAGCAACTGGGAGGCTTTAAATACTTTATCAGAGTAGTGAATGACCAACTTTAATGAAGTGACTCCTGTTTTGCGGGAAGTCCTTGCAGACCTGACTTGCGATGTTGCTTTGCTAGCCCAACACAAGCTCAGAAATGAAATTAATTCAGGACAACTTATCTTTGGCTCTGCTGGGGTTCCCGCGAGGAACTCAGAGGAGTTGCAGGGAGCATCTTTCCTGAACCGTGGGCTCCTGGGAGGTCCGTTAACGGGGTAAATCCCTCTTCAGAGCAGCATCCCCCCCAGAAAAAGGCAGATTTCCCAGAGTTATATTCCCAGTCTCAGGCTGCACTTAGTCAGGGAGAGGTTGTTTCTAGCAGGGCGCCAGCTCCGGAAGGATTTCCCTGCAAGGCTGTGCTCAGCCCGGCGAGCACTGCCGGCCGGGGCAGGCGCTCCCAGGGGACGGACTGCTCGGGTGCAGGCTCGCCTTTCCCAGCATCACGCTCCTCCGCCGACACAAGCTATTTAAAAAACCTGCAGCCCTGTCATTATCTGAAAGGATCTGGCTGTTCGAATGGATAAAAAAAATTGCTGCGCTCCTAAGTGCATGGGGAGATTTTGTAAGTGAATGCTTCTGTGCTCAACCCCCTTTTATGTGGCTGTCTCCTGCTACTTTAATCTATAATTTTAATTATTAAAAAAACAACTGAGCAGAAAAAAGGTTATTGAAGGTCATAATACAATTTCAGTGCCAATGGCACTATCTGATGAGGTCCCATAAGCACCCAGAGAGGTGTCCACAGACTGCTCCACTGGTATCTAGGACTAGACCTGAATTTATCAGTTCACAGGTTGTCTCAAGTTGCAGATTTGCTGTTGTAGGAGCTGCAGCATTTTACCTTTGAGCATATCAAAAAAAGTTGATGCTTCTGTTCCTATCTGTTAAACCCATATGGCATTTTAGTGTATTAAAATCCCCCATGGCCAGGTTCTTCACTGGTCAGACCCAAAGCCTAGCAGAGAGACAAGCAATCTCGGTACTGCCTTGGCAGCTCTTGAAAGTAGACACTGGATGCAAGACTCTTTTGGAAACAAACAGGAGCCTCTAGGAAAAGGTCTGACGTGTCAGTGAAGCCCCAGTGAGAATCGTCTTGACCTGGGTGGGAATTGCTCCCACAACAGGATTGCAGTGGGAACCCAATGGCACATGTTTCCCCACATAGGCTTGTTAAGACACCAGGAAGATGGGACAAGCTGACAAGAAACCTCCCTGCTCTGAAAAAATTCCTCTGCCTGTAAAGTGAAATATGCTTTGAGGCTGCTCCCGAGTTACCCAGCTCACATCCAGCTGGGTAAATACGGCGGGCTTTAGCCCTGATCCACTCTCAAGGTGTTCAGTTCGGTTTCCCACCAGCTCTGTAAGGAAGACGACCACTTTGCACCAGCACCCAGAAGAGGCGGGTGGGTCAGACCCCCTTGTGTCCAGCACGGCACTACTGGCGCCCACCCACCAAAGCCAGTGAGCGGTAGGAGCCTGCGGGTCTCCAAGTGGGACACCTCACCCCACCTGCTCTTACCTGGTGGTGGAGAGGTTGTCACCTCCAGCTGTCAAGGCACCTTGTCCAAAAACTGGCATCAAAGACAAGCCAGATGAACCTGCTTCTCGGGGTGCCCGTTTTTCCCCTGGGGATGCACAGGGAGGTTGTGGTTGCTCCCTCCAGCAACCTGGTGGAGAGACGTCTGAAGCTGAGATGGGGAAATCCCCCCCCCAAACTGTCCCGTACACCAAACGACACCTGAGGGACCATCAAAAATGAAAGGGCTGAAAATATTCCTCTGTGGTGGTTTACAGTATTATCACTACTTTGATGTTTCATAGTCTATTATTTCTAGCTGGGTCATTTCAACTGTAACATTTTGTTGACAGCCCCCAAATCTATCTTAACAATTGACAAGTGGAGTGAAAACTGTATTAAGGTTCGCAGTCGATGAATACAAGCCTGCTAGGAAACAAGGGCTAGGAGCAATGTCATTTGTCTCCCTTCCCTTCAAGGCTTAAGTGTTTGTGTTTACTCCAAAATTGTAAGCTCTTTGCAAAGGGATTATTTTATTTTGTATCTCTACAGCATCCAGGCAAGGGGGCTCCTGGGTGACTGGTGCAAATGATAAATGACAGGCATCATATTATGGTGTGATTACTCACATCGACATCCCTCACATAGGTCAGGTCCTCAATCAGTGCCAATGCTCATAACTCCATTAAAGTCAAATTGCAGCAGGACCTCCATTCTCACTCCTTCCATCCAGGGGAGTGCTCAGGGGTGGTGGTGGGATCCAGCCCACCCTGAGGACCCATGGTTGGTGATCACATATGTGTGTCAGAGATTTGGCAACACGTAAAGCACTTGGTGAGCGGCAGAGGGCAAGGAAGCCCTGGTACCTTCCAGGGAAATGTTACACCAGCTTCTACTGTCACAGAACCATAGCTAGACCAAGGGGGCCCTCCAGTAAAGTCATATCAGCACACCGCCACCGCAATCACAACCCGGACCTCTGACCGTGACCAGAGCCCATCACTTACCTCTTCCTTTAGGAGAGGTCCAGAGGTTGGCAGAAAAACACATGTTTAGAAAGAAACCCCTGTCTTTCATCCCACTGAAAGGCTCATTAACTGGGAAGGCTGATGAGCATTTCAGTGTATCTTAAAGGAGAAGACGCTAAGAGTGTCAGCGCAGACACTTCTATTGATCTGCTGCTATTTTCCCTGCGCACGACAGGCTGACATAGGCGGCTCTAAACAAGGAAAGACAATTTTGCAACCGTCACCCTCCATTTTGCCTGTTTGGCAGGGGTATGAATGGGGGGGAGGGTGTTTTGGAGCCTCCTTGTCCTTCTTTCTGCTTTCCTGGGCATGGCAGCAGCACCTTACGATGTGGTGCTATGCTGGGATCAAAATTCGCTTGCTGAGCAGAGAAAAATCACATATTTACTGCACTTCTATAGGTCACCTTCGTTCTCGATCATATTATATGCATTACCTTGTAACCTGTCTTCCTTCAAGCGTATGGTTGCCCTGACGTCTCCCCTTGGAGAGGCACAGCCAGGCAACAGAGCTCCCCAGCTAAGTGGCTGCTCCCTCCAAGGACATATTAATTAGAGGAGCAGCACTCATGCTGCTGGCTGCAGGCCCCAGCGTGCAGGGAAAGTTTTAAGGTGCTCCGTGTGCGTGGAAGAAATGGGCAGGGTTTGCTGGTCCCTAAGGATATGAGGCTCAGTGAATTCCTCTGCATTTTCCCCCTGTTAATAGCAATCCCCCCAACACTGCTAACTGCACCCTGGGGAGAAGGCGAAGGTGGGCGGCTGTGACCTCATTCCTTAGCTGGCATCTCTCCCTGCCCCAAAAACCAGCCGTACATGGCAGAGGACTGCAGTGCAATCACAGCCCAGCCAGGCGCCAATGCCTTGCAAGGTGCTGTATATGGCTGGGTAAAACAGATCTTCTTCATTCAAGGAGTTACTAGCTTTTTACACGCAACTTTAACTCTTTGAAGAGTGTGAAAAACGTTCTTGTAAAGAGTAATAAAGTGTGCTTACAACGTTCTTGTAAAAACCACCCATCTCCATCTCTGTAGGACTTCAAAGAACTCGAATTACAAAAAGAAGCATATTTAAAGGAGGGCATAAATAGTTCAATCTTATATTCAAAAAGGGTTGTAGCACAGTTTATGGGGCCAAGCTGTCTTCTATCTATTTTTTAAAGCAACAAGCAAATCTGCACTGAGTTAGGGAAAGGATTTGAATCCTGTCATAACGGTTTTGCTCTGGGCACAATGGCCAGCCAAATAGCATTGTAATCCACTTCATCCCCAGCAGGATTAAAGTGCTATGGTGCATTACACCCCCATGAGATTTATCTATTTATTTGGTACAAGGGAGGAGAGGGACTCTGAAACGCACTGCTAACAACCCCCAGACATCCTCTGTCACCGGTTCAGCCCAGACGCCCTCAAATCTCCCATGCAGAGCTGTGATTTGGGGAGCCTAAGTGGTGTTTGGCCCCAGTGTCTAGCAGGATCGTGACAGCCATGGTGAAAGGGGCTGCAAACCCCCTGCTGCCTGTAAACCCAGTTTCTCGGTAAGGCACCAGGGTCCCATCCCAGCCCCGGGCCAGGGCTGTGTGAACACTGGGCACCTCAGACCTTCAAATCCTTTTGTAGGGATGTGGATGGCAGCAGGCAGCACTGCTTTGCCACCCCTCCTTCAGCCCTGCTTCTGTTTGAAGGGGTTTCAGTGGGCAAAACTGGAAACCAA